TTTTTCTATAAAAATAGTGTTTTATCGAAAAATTTATAAAAAAAATGATTTTTATCGAAAATTTTCCATAAAAAGTGAATTTTTATCGAAAATTTTCTATAAAAGAGAATTTTACCAAAAACATTCTATTCTATCGAAAATTTATATAAAAAGAGAATTTTATCGAAAATTTTCTATAAAAAGAGAATTATATCAATAATTTTCTATAAAAAGAGAATTTTATCGAAAATTTTCCATAAAAAGTGATTTTTATCGAAAATTTATCATAAAAAGCTATTTTTATCGAAATTTTTCTATAAAAATAGTATTTTATCGAAATTTTTTATCTAAAATTTTAAGGAACTTTTTTCTGTTTATGGAAATGTTAAGGAAAATGTTCTTTTCAAAATATCTATTTTTATAGAAATTTCTTTTATAGAAAAGCTTGGAAAATTACTCTTTTTATTGAAAATTGACTGAAAATTGTTTATATAAAGAAAGTTGGTGAATGGATGAAGAAAAAATAACATATTTATAGTGGAATTTTATTCGCTAAAGGAATAATTATTTCAAGTTTGCTCATAAATACCTTTTGAAATACAAATTTTTAGTTTTTGGCGTTCCCCACTTACCTGAAAAAAAAAATGAACAAAAATAGATTAATTTATATTGTAGACAGGATTTAAAAGATCAAAACCTAACAGAAGGTCAAAATGGTATATATCCGATTAATATTATTTTGCAACAAATAAAACTTTTATCAGCAGAAAATCTTTTATCTTTAATATAACCTAGTTTATAAAGGAAATATGATATAAAAAGTGTCACATTTGTTCCTTTTTTGCGCAAAATTGAAAGCCTTTTTTTATCCTTTGTAAATACAAATTGTTTATTTACAATACATTGTAATAGCAGTTGAACTATACCTTACGGATACATTGTATTTATTCGAACATGACGTATTTATGTAATGTGTGTGTGTGCGTTGAACCCTTTTTTCATTGCTGTTCTACAATTGACAATTATAAAACAACAATGTCAAAGTCTTGAGTTTCTCTTGAAATTTCCACCCACAGTTTAGACAATAATTCTTTTTATTTATTTCTTTATGCGTTTTTACTTATTTTTTTCCTTATTTTATGACATTTAGCGAATACTTTGAAGGCTGGAATAAATGTGTTGTTGAATAATTATTGAAAGTACAGTTATTGTACTTTAGACATTTTTTGGATTCGAATAAAACATCTAAAAAAACGGCATAAAGAGTAACGAGGCAAATTTTGCAAAAGTATACTATAGACTGGTCTATGGACTAGACTATAGACTGGACTATAGACTAGACTATGGACTAGACTATGGACTAGACTATAGACTAGATTACAGGACAGACTAGACTAGACTATAGACAAGACTATAGACTAGACTATAGACTAGACTATAAGACCAGACTATAGACTAGACTATAGACTAGAATATAAACTAGACTATAGACTAGGATATAGACTAGACTATAGACTAGGCTATAGACTAGGCTATAGACTAGACTATAGACTAGGCTATAGACTAGACTATAGACTAGACTATAGACTAGAATATAGCCTAGACTATAGACTAGACTATAGACTAGACTATAGACTAGAATATAGCCTAGACTATAGACTAGACTATAGACTAGACTATAGACTACACTATAGACTAGACTAAAGACTAGACTTGGACTAGACTATAGACTAGACTATAAACTAGACTATAAACTAGACTATAGACTAGACTATAGACTAGACTATAGACTAGACTATAGACTAGACTATAGACTAGACTATAGACTAGACTATAGACTGGACTATAGACTAGACTATAGACTAGACTATAGACTAGACTATAGACTAGACTATAGACTAGACTATAGACTAGACTATAGACTAGACTATAGACTAGACTATAGACTAGACTATAGACTAGGCTATGGACTAGACTATAGACTAGACTATAGACTAGACTATAGACTAGGACTATAGACTAGACTATAGACTAGACTATAGACTAGACTATAGACTAGACTATAGACTAGACTATAGACTAGACTATAGACTAGACTATAGACTAGGACTAGAGTCCTAGGACTATAGACTAGACTATAGACTAGACTATAGACTAGACTATAGACTAGACTATAGACTAGACTATAGACTAGACTATAGACTAGACTATAGACTAGACTATAGACTAGACTATAGACTAGACTATAGACTAGACTATAGACTAGACTATAGACTAGACTATAGACTAGACTATAGACTAGACTATAGACTAGACTATAGACTAGACTATAGACTAGACCTACTAGACTAGACTATAGACTAGACTATAGACTAGACTATAGACTAGACTATAGACTAGACTATAGACTAGACTATAGACTAGACTATAGACTAGACTATAGACTAGACTATAGACTAGACTATAGACTAGACTATAGACTAGACTATAGACTAGACTATAGACTAGACTATAGACTAGACTATAGACTAGACTATAGACTAGACTATAGACTAGACTATAGACTAGACTATAGACTAGACTATAGACTAGACTATAGACTAGACTATAGACTAGACTATAGACTAGACTATAGACTAGACTATAGACTAGACTATAAACTAGACTATAGACTAGACTATAGACTAGACTATAGACTAGACTATAGACTAGACTATAGACTAGAACTATAGACTAGGCTATAGACTAGACTAGGATATAGACTAGACTATAGACTAGACTATAGACTAGACTATAGACTAGACTATAGACTAGACTATAGACTAGACTATAGACTAGAACTATAGACTAGACTATAGACTAGACTATAGACTAGACTATAGACTAGACTATAGACGAGACTATAGACTAGACTATATACTACACTATAAACTATTCAATAGACTAGACAAGATTTCCTTATTCTGGTTATTTCCAATTCTCATTATGTCTTAACTCTTTTAACTCCCTGCCGTTTGAGGGAAAATCCCATAAACAACAACAGTTGGGTGTTTTGATTAAATTACTTTTGCCATGAAAACATACAAACAGACACAAATGAAATCCAATATACATAAAAAGAACAACAAAATGTATCATTCTTTTTCAACTTGTTTAAACGTAAAAAGGAGCACGTGGGTTGTATTTTCAATTCTATTCTTTTCCTGAGTCTTTCATTCAATTTGTCAAAAATTTAACACAACAAAAGAGCTCTTTCGTCGTCATAGTCGTCGGTTGCAGTTGTAAATTACTCCGCTGCACACAACATGGACATAACTTTTAAGCTGGCATAGCATGCGCTTGAGCCATAATTGAATAAGAACTATGAGCAGTAAGTGTGTGGGGCCCACCAACAATAACAAAACACTTGAGTTTGTTTTATGGTTCCATGTTGGTATAATGGAACTACAATATAGCTGTGTTCTTAATCAAAAAAAGTGTATTTATGAAGTTGGATTTTTTTTTTTTTGATTGTTTATTTTTCTTTATTGTTTGGGGGTGCACTTAAGATTTCATTTAGAAAAAAATTATGAAAATAATCATAAAGTTTTTAGTCTTTGTTTTTTTGTTTATTATTAAATATGATCATAAACAAAAAATGAAAATAAATTATTAAACACATAAAAGATAAAAACAAATATTTATAAACATTATTTACATATTTAATAATAAATAAATATTTTGCCGTCCACTAACTAACTAACTAACTAACTAACTAACTAACTAACTAACTAACTAACTAACTAACTAACTAACTAACTAACTAACTAACTAACTAACTAACTAACTAACTAACTAACTAACTAACTAACTAACTAACTAACTAACTAACTAACTAACTAACTAACTAAGTAACTAACTAAGTAACTAACTAACTAACTAACTAACTAACTAACTAACTAACTAACTAACTAACTAACTAACTAACAACTAACTAACTAACTAACTACTAACTAACTAACTAACTAACTAACTAACTAACTAACTACTAACTAACTAACTAACTAACTAACTAACTAACTAACTAACTAACTAACTAACTAACTAACTAACTAACTAACTAACACTAACTAACTAACTAAAACTAACTAACTAACTAACTAACTAACTAACTAACTAACTAACTAACTAACTAACAAACTAACTAACTAAACTAACTAACTAACTAACTAACTAACTAACTAACTAACTAACTAACTAACTAAACTAACGAACTAACTAACTAACTAACAAACTAACTAACTAACTAACTAACTAACTAACTAACTAACTACTAACTAACTAACTAACTACTAACTAACTAACTAACTAACTACTAACTAACTAACTAACTAACTAACTAACTAACTAACTAACTAACTAACTAACTAACTAACTAACTAACTAACTAACTAACTAACTAACTAACTAACTAACTAACTAACTAACTAACTAACTAACTAACTAACTAACTACTACTAACTAACTAACTAACTAACTACTAACTAACTACTAACTAACTAACTAACTAACTAACTAACTAACTAACTAACTAACTAACTAACTACTAACTAACTAACTAACTAACTAACTAACTACTAACTAACTAACTAACTAACTAACTAACTAACTAACTAACTAACTAACTAACTAACTAACTAACTAACTAACTACTAACTAACTAACTAACTAACTAACTAACTAACTAACTAACTAACTAACTAACTAACTAACTAACTAACTAACTAACTTACTAACTAACTAACTAACTAACTAACTAACTAACATACATAACTTATCTTACTAGTTACATAATTAACTACTTACTTACTTATTAATTAACTAACTCAAACATTCCTTACATTTTCTAATCCCTTCTAACTACTTTCCTTAAAATCTCTTACTTTAACAAATTCCCAAACTTTTTCCCTTTCTTTAACAACTACTCTCAAACCAAGTTAACTCTGCAAACTTTGCCAAAAATTTAGTTCTCCCACGTTCATTAATAAAATTGGTCGCAAAAAAGTGACGCTCGTCGTTAATTACCCAATAAATTAATTTAAAGTGTTATTTTACCATTAAATTAGTAAAATATTTATGCTAATAGTTTAATCTAATAAAAAATCTATTAAAAATTCCAAAAATTAAGTGTTAAATTAAAGTTTTTCTTAAAAAATTTCCATAAAAAAGTGAAGAAACAAAAGAAAATAGTAAAATAAAAAGAAGCAGCATCAAATAAAAAAGCCCTTTGCTTAGGCATGTTTCTTTATTTGTTTGTTTGTGTATGTATCCCTTATAGAGAAGTGTCTTAAATTTGTTATTGTTTTGATTTGCATTTGAGATGAGAATTATATTTATTGTTGTTTTTTGCATTATACTAAAAGTGAGCGCAAAAAAGAAGAAAAAGAACAAAAAAAACTTCTCTATAATAAAAGCAAAGGCAAAAAAGTGTTGTTGTTTGTTTATTTATGGTTTAGTGTTGTTGTTTACAAAAGAATGCAACTAGTGTTTATGTTATTGGTTTTATTTGAAGTTTAGTTAAAAAAGTTAGTAGTGCGTTGTAGAGTTGCCGGTGTTTAAATATAGTGCTAAAAACGGGAAAACGGTACGGTCGGTAAAATAAAATATAAAATTATGACTACAGAATAAACGCTTATACAATATTTTAATAGAATTTAAATGTGAGTTTTTTACCAAAATTTTTAAGAATTCAATGGGACATTTTTTTTATGTATTTGACTACAGGACAGACTATCGCCATCGCAATAGAAGAGTCTATAGAATAGAATATAAATTGAACAGACTATAGTCTTGACTATAGAATAGTCTATAATCTTGACTATAGAATAGTCTATAATCATGACTATAGCATAGTCTATAGTCTTGACTATAGAATAGTATATAGTTTTGAATACAGAATAGTCTATAGTGTTGACTATAGAATAGTCTATAGTCTTGACTGTAGAATAGTCTATAAGCTTGACTATAGAATAGTCTATAACCTTGACTTTAGAATAGTCTATAGTCTTGACTACAGAATAGTCTGTAGTCTTGACTATAGACTAGAATAGTCTATAGTCTTGACTATAGAATAGAATAGTTTATAGTCTTGACTATAGAATAGAATAGTCTATACTCTTTACTATAGAATAGAATAGTCTATAGTCTTGACTATAGAATAGAATAGTCTATAGTCTTGATTATAGAATAGTCTATAGTCTTGACTATAGAACAGTCTATAGTCTTGATTATAGAACAGTCTATAGTCTTGACTATAGAATAGTCTATAGTCTTGACTATAATATAGTCTATAGTCTTGACTATAATATAGTCTATAGTCTTGACTATAGAATAGTCTATAGTCTTGACTATTAAATAGTCTATAGTCTTAACTATAGAATAGTCTATAGTCTCGACTATAGAACAGTCTATAGTCTTGATTATATAATAGTCTATAGTCTTGACTATAGAATAGTCTACAGTCTTGACTCTATAATAGTTTATAGTCTTGACTATAGAATAGTCTATGGTCTTGACTATAGAATAGTCTATGGTCTTGACTATAGAACAGTCTATAGTCTTGATTATAGAATAGTCTATAGTCTTGACTATAGAATAGTCTATAGTCTTGACTATAGAATAGTCTATAGTCTTGACTATTAAATAGTCTATAGTCTTAACTATAGAATAGTCTATAGTCTCGACTATAGAACAGTCTATAGTCTTGACTATAGAATAGTCTATAGTCTTGACTATATAATAGTCTATAGTCTTGACTATAGAATAGTCTACAGTCTTGACTCTATAATAGTCTATAGTCTTGACTATAGAATAGTCTATAGTCTTGACTATAGAATAGTCTATAGTCTTGACTATAGAATACTCTATAGTCTTGACTATAGAATAGTCTATAGTCTTGACTATAGAATAGTCTATAGTCTTGACTATAGAATAGTCTATAGTCTTGACTATAGAATAGTCTATAGTCTTGACTATAGAATAGTCTATAGTCTTGACTATAGAATAGTCTATAGTCTTGACTATAGAATAGTCTATGGTCTTGACTATAGAATAGTCTATAGTCTTGACTATAGAATAGTCTATAATCTTGACTATAGAATAGTCTATAATCTTGACTATAGAATAGTCTATAGTCTTGACTATAGAATAGTTAGTGTTGACTATAGAATAGTCTATAGTCTTGACTATAGAATAGTCTATAGCCTTGACTATAGAATAGTCTACAGCCTTGACTATGGAATAGTCTATAACCTTGACTATGGAATGGTCTATAACCTTGACTATGGAATAGTCTATTGTCTTGACTATAGAATAGTCTATTGTCTTGACTATGGAATAGTCTATAGTGTTGACTGTAGAATAGTCTATAGTCTTGACTATAGAATAGTCTATAGTCTTGACTGTAGAATAGTCTATAACCTTGACTATGGAATAGTCTATAACCTTGACTATGGAATAGTCTATTGTCTTGACTATAGAATAGTCTATAGTCTAGACTATAGAATAGTCTATAGTCTTGACTATAGAATAGTCTATAGTCTTGACTATAGAATAGTCTATGGTCTTGACTATAGAATAGTCTATGGTCTTGACTATAGAATAGTCTTTTGTCTTGACTATAGAATAGTCTATAGTCTTGACTATAGAATAGTCTATAGTCTTGACTATAGAATAGTCTATAGTCTTGACTATAGAATAGTCTATAGTCTTGACTGTAGCATAGTCTATAGTCTTGACTATAGAATAGTCTATAGTCTTGACTATAGAATAGTCTATAGTCTTGACTATAGAATAGTCTATAGTCTTGACTATAGAATAGTCTATAGTCTTGACTATAGAATAGTCTTAACTATAGGATAGTCTAGACTCTATAGTCTTGACTATAGAATTCTCTAAACTGTTGGCTATAGAACAGTCTATAGTTTTGATTTTTTCTTACTTCCATTGATTGAATTCTTTGTAACGGTACTTTCTAAGTTCCCTTTTGCGTACTATTTTTTTAGCATTAGTTTTTGTTTGTTTTTATCTTTTCCAAAAAGAGAACAATTTAAGTGATTGTTTTAGATGAGCATTCTTTATTTACAGGGAAATCAAAAGTGATTACGATGATAATGATATTTTGTTTACAAACAATTTTAAATGTGTGAAAATATAATTTTTATTTTTTATTTTTAGGTGTGTTTGTATTTCAAATGAATATTTTATTTAGAATTGTTAAGAATTGCAAAATTATTTAGCAATAACTTAATAAAATTTTGCGTCATAGGAAATGTTTGAACAAAGGAAATTAGGTAAGTGAAAAGAAAATTTCGTTTATTATTATTTCATTGCTTAAATTTAATAATTTTATTTAATAAATAAAATGAAAATTATGTCGATGAATTTTTATTTGGCTATACCTAAATTAATAAATATTGTACTTGATTTGTTTAAGCAATAACAATTTGTACTTATTTTAAATACATTGAAAATCGTTTCAAACTTGTTCCCATTTTCTAATTTCAAATCTCACCAATATTTTCAAAATATCTCCTCACTATAGGGTGCCTTTTTCATAATATAATTATATAAAATCTCATTATGCCACTGTGACAGACATAATTATTGTTTATTATGGTAATTATATTTAAAATGTTTATAATGACAATTGTTTCTTTTTCTTTTCATTTCATAAAATACCCACATAATGTCATATAGTATGCGCAGCGTTTTAATACACTCAACTAAAACTCATAAACAATATTGTATTGCGGTAGTAGATAATAATAAAACAAATACTAAAATTGACGTTTCTAAAAGTGACAATTAAAAAACATTGACTTTATGTAACTGACATTGAGTGTAATTGTTTAAAATAATAGTAAAAGTTTCAGTTATGTTTGTGTTTATTTTAAATATTATTTGTTATTCACAATTTTTAGTGAATGAAACTTAGTTGTTTCGGTCTTTTTGTCTATTATTCGGAAACAAAGAGAGAAAAGTATTTAAGTTTGTCAGGGTGTAAGTAACAGGGAAAGAAACACATTACACTTTAGTTAAATCTATAGTCATAACTATTGATCAATTTGTGGTCTTGACTATAGATCAGTTTGTGGTCTTGACTATATATCAGTCTATAGTCTTGAATATAGATCAGTCTCTAGTCTTGACTATAGATCAGTCTATAGTCTTGATTATAGATCAGTCTATAGTCTTGACTATATATCAGTCTATAGCCATGAATATAGATCAGTCTATAGCCTTGAATATAGATCAGTTTGTAGTCTTGACTATATATCAGTCTTGGCTGTAGATCAATCTATAATTTTGAGCACAGATTAGTCTAAAGTCTTGCCTATTGATTAGTCTATAGTCTTGACTACAGATCAGTATATATTCTTAATAATAGATCAGTCTATAGTCTGTCTACAGTCAGGAATGTAGATCAGTTTATAGTCTTGACTATAGATCAGTCTATAATCTTTTCTAAAGATCAGTCTATATTCTTGACTATAGATCAGTCTATAGTCTTGAATATAGATCAGTATATAGTCTTGACTATAGATTAGTCTTGAGTTTTGACTATAGATCAGTCTTTAGTCTTGACTATAGATCAGTCTATAATCTTTTCTAAAGATCAGTCTATATTCTTGACTATAGATCAGTCTATTGTTTTGACTATATATCATTCTATATTCTTGACTATAGATTAGTCTTGAGTTTTGACTATAGATCAGTCTTTAGTTAAATCTATAGTCATAACTATTGATCAATTTGTGGTCTTGACTATAGATCAGTTTGTGGTCTTGACTATATATCAGTCTATAGTCTTGAATATAGATCAGTCTCTAGTCTTGACTACAGATCAGTCTTAGTCTCGACTATAGATCCGTTTATAGTCCTGACCATAGATCGGTTTATAGTCTTGACTAAAGACTAGTCCATAGTCTTGACTAAAGATCAGTCTATATTCTTGAATATAGATTAGTCTAGGCATGACTATAGATCAGTCTATAGCCTTGACTATAGATCTGCTATAGCCTTGACTATAGATCTGCTATAGCCTTGACTATAGATCTATCTATAGTCTTGACTAAAGATCAGTTTATGGTCTTAACAATAGATTAGTTTATAGTCTTTACTATAGATTTCTCTACAGGAAACTAAGCTTGGTACAAAAACTTTATTTCATTAGGAAGTGCTTTTCAAATTCGTTACACTCTAACTTCCATTGATTACATCTCTCGTTACATTGTTGACAATTGAATAAATATGATGACTATGGGCTTTTTCGATTTCATATTAAATGTTATTCAAAGCCCAAACATTTCTTTATGTAAGTACTAGCTCTGCAAACAGATTAAATTTTATATAAATTTGGAAAATTTTTTCCAAAAAATAATCAAAATAATCATTTACACTTCATGTATTTCGTTACATTTAAACAAAACAAATAAATATGTCTGTCTATCTTTAAAACATACATACTATATTAATGAGAATTTTGGTTTACACTGAAATGAAACTGTGCTCATTTTAATTCCCTTTGGTGGCATTTAACACAAATTTATTTTTAATTTCAGTTTTTAAATCTGTGTTAAAAATAGATACAAAAAATTATTATAAACTTTCATATTTGGTGGTTTTTTATTACAAAAAAATTAAAGACTTCAAGTTTCATTCAGCCTTACATAGGCCCCTTATTCATTACTGTATTCATTCATTCATACATTTATTGATACGAGTATTTATGAAGCGTGTATCTAAGTATCTACGAGTATGTATATCTTTTGTATTGTAATCGATGAAAAGTACTTTGCTACTACTATACATCTTCTTAAATTATTTGTTTTTTATTTTTTCTTTTTTATTATTTTGTAAGTACTTATTTAATGTGTGTTTTTTCTTTCTTTCTTACCACACACTATACATTAAAACTGTGTCTTTTTTGTTGTTGTTGTATATTATTAAAAATCGATAGTGCGGCAATTGTTGCGACCTATTTTTTATATTATTTGTTGCTGTTGTTCGTGTCTATGTGTGTTTTTTCCAAGTTGTTGTAATATGGTTTTTGACTTTGTTTCGGCTCGTTTAAATACATAGTATAACTATAACGCAAGTAAATTGTACTATAATTACATGCATATCAGTTGTACTACGTTTAGGTTGTGTTGTCTATTTTGTACTTTTTATAGTAGATGTAATAGATGTATGTATTTCTAAGATTGTTTGATGGTTGATGTAGTTAAAAGTGTTTAGCTAGGGAATCTTTTTTTTGGTAAGGTGACCAATGTTTGTATTTTAGATTTTGAATGACTTGTTTTTATACATATTTCGTTAACATTCTGAAACCCATGGCTTTTTTAAGTAGTCTTAAACTTCAACCATTTTGACTTAGGATCTGTATCATGCTAATTTTCATATTTGCTGAGTATTCAAATACTTTAATTAGAAAAATTTTTGTTATATTGGGCCACTACACTTTCACAATCCGTATACATCAATGTAACAAAGCATAATCTCAGAGGTTTCATAGTACACCTCGTAAGATCGGCACTATTTTGTATCCATACTGCCTACCATGGTGTTGTCTAAGAACAGGTTTGGTAATTAAAGATATCGTTTACCATAAAAGTGTTTCATAACGTCTGTCTGTAATTCTGGACGCTCCCATAGTCTTGACTATGGATACGATCAGACTATGGATATAGATCAGTCTATTGACTATAGATCAGTCTATTGATCAGTTTATAGTCTTGATTATAGATCAGTCTACAGACTTAACTATAGATCAGTCTATAGTCTTGACTATTGATCAGTCTATAGTCTTGACTATTGATCGCTCTATAATTGACTATAGATCAGTCTATAGTCTTGACTATAGATCAGTCTATAGTCTTGACAATTGATCAGTATATAGTCATGGCTATAGATCAGTCAATTGTATTGTCTATAGATCAGTCTATACTCTTGACAATTGATCAGTCTATTATCTTGACTATAGATCAGTATATAGTCATGACTATAGATCAGTCAATTGTATTGTCTATAGATCAGCCTATAGTCTTGACTATGGATCAGTCTACAGTCTTGACTATATATCAGTCTAAAGTCTTGGCTTTAGATCAGTCTATAGTCTTGACTATAGATCAGTTTATAGTCCTGACTATAGATCAGTCTATAGTCTTTACTATAGATCAGTCTATAGTCTTTACTGTAGAACAGTCTATAGTCTTTACTATAGATCAGTATATAGTCTTGAAACAGATTAGTCTACAGTCTTAACAATAGAAAATTCTATCGTCTTGAATATAGTTCAGTCTCGATTATTGATCAGTTAATAGTCTTGACTATAGATCAGTCTATAGTCTTGACTATTGACCAGTCTATAGCCTTGACTATAAGTCAGTAAATAGTCTTAACTATACATCAATCTATAGTCTTGTGTATAGATCAGTCTATTGTCTTGACTATAGATCAGTCTATAGTCTTGACTATAGATCAGTCTACAGTCTTCACTATAGATTAGTCTATAGTGTGGACTATAGATCAGTCTATAGTCTTGTCTATAGATCAGTCTATAATATTGACTATGGATCAGTTTATAGTCTTGACTATGGATCAGTCTATAGTCTTGACTATAGATCAGTCTATAGTCTTGACTATAGATTAGTTTATAATCTTGACTATAGATCAGTTTATAGTCTTGACTATAAATCAGTCTATAGTCTTGACTGTAGATCAGTCCATAGTATTAAATATAGAAAATTTGATAATCTTGAGTATAAGTTTGTCTATCGTCTTGAGTATATTTCAGTTTTGACTATTGATCAGTGATTCCCATAGTCTTGACTATGGATATGACCAGGATATAGTCTTGACCATAGATCAGTATGCAGTATTGACTACAGATCAGTATATAGTATTGACTATAGATCAGTCTATAGACTTGACTATAGATCAGTCTATAGTCTTGACTATAGATCAATATATTGTCTTAACTGTAGATCAGTCTATAGTGTTGACTGCAGATCATTCTACAGTCTTAACTATAGATCAGTCTATAGTCTAGACTAAAGATCAGTTTTGAACTATATAAACAATAAGAACAATTCTAAAAGAAAGATCATCTACCTTCATCCGTATTACTGAAACTCTGGTCACCCAACATTTACAATCTAATCTAATGGAGATTCAACTAATGACTCCTCTTTAAGTTGGTTTTTTTTTTGTATTTCCAACATTTCTTTCCATTTTCATTGTAATTTTCCAAATGAGCAAAATACAAATGAATAACTGACTGAATGAATGT